CAAGGCCGTCTTCAGACAAACAGAATTAAGCCAACATCCGTATTAACTATCCAAATAAGATTGTGTCTGTGTGTGTGTGTCTGTGTGTGTGTTTGTGTGTGTGTGTGTGGTATTCAACTTTGTTCGGGTATTTTCCCACGTCATTATAGTTGTGCTTTTAAAGTTGTAGCAACGTTTAGTAACAGAAACGGCTGTGAAAGCCTGACTCACAGACGGACACAATACAGAAGCCTGATGATGGCGGATGAGATTCTGCCGAAATGTTGCTACAACTTTAAAAGCACAACTACAATGACGTGGGAAAATACCCGAACAAAGCTGAATACCAGACATACATACATACATACATACATACATACATACATACATACATATACATACATACATACATACATACAGTATATGCAGGTCTTGGCGTGTTTGACCTGAACAGGCCAAGACCTGCATACCTGTACCTGTGAAAATCTACGAAAAATATATATATATATAAAATATATATATTTAATATATATATATATATATATATATATAAAATATATATATATAAATAAAATTTAAAAACTTATCTGGGATAAAAGCAAGCACGTTTAAATGTGTCATGGAAAGACCGGTAGGTCTAGCTTAAATCTGCGTGTGGATTCAGGTGTTTTTCCTCCGAGGCTTCAGAGAATGGCCTTGGGAAGGGATCCCCAGGCCAGATTGCTTGTAACAGCCCCCCCAAAGCTCTACATCACATTTGCACACCCTTCAAAAAGACAATAAAAAGCGGATAAGGAAACAAAAAGGCATCCTCTATAACAACCCGGATAAGCAGGGATTAACACCAGACAAACAAGTAGAAAGTAATCAAGGAGCTACAAGGGTGTGTGTGTGTGTGGAGAATCACACCTTCCCCAACACTTGGTAGGGTAAGAGGGAGCAAACTCCACACTCAATATCTCTGATGATGTTTCCTAGTTGGGTAATGAAACGTCTGTGAGCAAAAAACCCAGCTCAGAGAACACCAAGGACCCCATAGTCCTCCTTCTCCTCCTTCCTTCTTCCTCCCTTCTCCTTCTTTCTTCCTTTTCTCTCCTCCTCCTCCCTTTCCTCTACTCCTCAAACCCCACTCCCTTCTAGCCCTGATGACGTCACCTAGTTGGGTAATGAAATGTCTATGAACAAAGAGGCCAAACTCAATAGAGCACCAAGGATTTCGACCTTCATCTCTTCTCTTTGTATTATCAGATGGGTTTTACGGTGAGGGAAACATCGGTGTCCCACCTCCAAAACTTTTCAGTGACTTCGGAGCAATTCGGGTTCTACTTTACACACCGGGAACACTCGAACTCTCTCCCTGCTCCTCTATAGTGCTGTAAAGCACTGTAAAGCGGTATATAACACTAAGTGCTTTTGCTATTTGACCCAAAGTCTTCTTTTTTAAAAAATTGAAGCCTTGAAGTAAAACAAGAGTTGGGAAAGGAATTGGAGGAGGAAGGTAGGGATTGAAATACTTGCGTGTCTTACACATCTGCCTGGGTGCAAGTTAGGGAACCTTGCCTTCAATTCAGCCTCCGTGGAAACGTTTTCCTCCAAAACGCAGGACGATTTCAGGTCCTTCGCCTGGTTAGGATCTTTTTGGACCAGCCATCCACTGGTTCATTTCAGAAAAAAGAAAACAAAAAAACCATAAAGAGATTTCCCCCTTCAGGTGTGCACCTGCTTTTCTGTTGCGCGGGGGGGATGGACGGAGCCAGGGTCAGTCGTGACGTTCAGCATCGCCTCGTCAGCATAACCTGTGGGGTTTGGTCTCTTTTGAAACTGAGTTTGCTGCAGCTCGGGGGGGGGGGGGGGGGGGGAAGGTGGTCCAGTTCATCATGAAGCATCCTTTGATTTTTCACACGAGCATCCCAAGGAAAGGTTTCGGCGCTTCCGCCTTCTTGCCAACGCTGGGAGGGTTTGCATGTATCCTCACAACCGGGCGAACACCCATGGCACCGGGCAAGCATGACTTGCTTTTTTCCTTGGCCCAGCCAGCCAGTCCGGTTAATCTAGGTTTGGCATGAGTTTGGCATGTCTGATTGAAACCGTCCGCCCTGCGCAGCCCGGCACAGGGGGTTCTGACGGCGGGAACAGAGGTCTTGCATGGGGGAGCACGCCGTTCCACCTCCAAAATGCAGCGCAGGAGCTCCCGTCTTTCTCACACGCCTCCCCCCTTTTGCAGAGCAGAGAGATTGGAGAGAAACGGATTGCAAGAGAGTAATGTGCCTGACCTCCTTGGTTTTCTCTTCCTTGGGTGGGGGGGGGGGAGCGGGGCCAAAAGGGGGTTCTTTGCTCCTGGATGCCTTTCCCTGATGGCTTTGCTCGCTTGGGGGTCTCCAAGCCTGGCCCCTTTATGACATGTGGACTTCAACTCCCAGAATCCCCCAGCCAGCATCAATTTTTCCCTAGCTCAGTTTCCTTTTGGTCTGATACTCACCATCTTTATTGCATGAACTAGCACAGGGTGTGTGTGTGTGTGTGTGTGTGTGTGTGTGTGTGTGTGTGTGTTGGCCACTTTATGACTTGTGGACTTGGTGGCTGGCTGAGGGATTCTGGGAGTTGGAAGTCCACGAGGCTTAAAGGGGCCAGGTTTGGAGACCGCCCTGGGCTAGTCCGTGCAGTGAGATGGCTAGCATCGGACAGAAAGGAAAGACTTAGGGTGTGATGACCCAGGGTGGGATACAAAACAAACACAGTCACAGAAAACAGGTGAAGCCCCTTTTATTCCTTCACTTTGCTTCTAAACTCCAAATATCCTTAATGGAAGACAAAAAACTCCCCCACAAACAGTTACAAGAAGGAGGAAAAAAGCAACACAATCCAGGCTGGAGGACGCCCACAGATATCAGGACACACACTGGGAAGGATGCCAAACTCAGAGAGGAACTATAAACTAGAGATATTTCCAGGCTTTGTTTCCAGCGTTCACCCATACGCAGGTCCGTCCTCTTATTCAATTGTCACAGCTGCAGCCCATGAAGAGGGTCAAGGCCCTCTCCTCCAGAGTAGACCACGTCTCTCCCTGATCCTCTCTTCCCTGCGTGCCCTAGGATGGAGAGGGGATGGGCCTGGGTCCTCCTCTGACTGCTCAGCCGGTCTCCGCCCTTCCCCAGCCTCCTCCGTAACCCCCGGAGCCCCACTTCCACTCCCTGTGGGCTCTTCCTCCTCTCCCTCGGACTCAGTCTCCACCAGGGCCATGACATAGGGTGAGCACTGTGTCGTGGCAAACAGTGGCAGGGTTCACGCTAAACTCTAAACCTGGGTTCACAAAGTACAGTGGCTGTGTTCACATGCCGGGCCCAAAGTACCCCCATAACAGCGGAACTAGAAATTTGAAATTCCTGTTGGGAAATCTCTGAAAACCCGCTCTCCTCCTGGACTACGGGGTTTGCCTGCTGTCCTTGGGCAAGAAAATGGAACCTCTCACTCTTCTTCTTTTGTTACACAATAGCCTCTAGTTGTGCTATAGGGGGTGTCCTCGCTTACCAACGGTTCAGTGACCGCCCGACGTTACAGCGGTGCTGAAAAAAATAGGACCCATGCCTGCATTTGTGGCCTCGTATGTCACACAATTGCCATTATATCGCTGTCGCTTTTCTTACACATCTCCCTTTGCAGAGCAAAGAGATTGGAGAGAAATGAAGAGAAGAAGCCATGGACAATACACATTGCAAAAGCCAGTTTGGTGTGATTATTAAGGCACCAGGCTAGAAATGGACAGACTATGAGTTCTAGTCCCAGTTTAGGGATTCAAACTGCTGGGTGATTTGGGATAAATCATCAGGTGGCCGTGAATTCTGGTTCCTCCTTCGGCATGAAAACCAACTGGGTGACTTTGTCCAGTCACTTTCTCAAGCTCACCTCACCTCACAAGGTTGTTGTTTGGGGAGGTGAGAGAGGGAGGAGTATTCGATATGTTCACCCCCCCCCCCCCTTGTGTTATTTATAAAAATAGTAAAGATGGGATAGACGTAAATAAATGTGACGGTGCTGTGAGCACACACAGCAAGCATGTTGTGCAAACCGCCTGGTATATTTCCCCGTGCCTCGTCTGATTGCTCTCTTGTAATCCCTTTCTCTTCAATGAATGTAAATTCTTCAACATCAATTCCCTTTTTGCTAATACTTCTGAGCTAGTTTGCTGGGTGGAACTGGAAGGATGATTTGGTCTGGCACCTGGGGGGAAAGGGTTATATTCTTACCTATGCCTTCTGGATCGTTGCAAGCTTCCTGCAATCATTGTATAGTCCTCGGCGTACGACCAAAATTGGGACCAGAAATTTCCATTGTTTAAGCAAAGCAGTTCTTAAGCCATTAGGTGCCCATAATTGGACCTTTTAAGGACCTTTCTTTGCCACCGTTAAGCAAGTCGTGGCAGCTGTTCAAAGAATCACAGGGTCGTTAAGTGAACCCAGCTCCCCCCACTGATGGGGCCAGTTGGGAATGTCACAAAATGGTGACTCCATGAACCCTGGGGTGCGGCGACCACCATAAATACCACCAGCCGCCAAGCGCCCGAATTTGATGGGGATACCGTGACGAATGTAAGTGCGAGGGCCAACGGTTGTAAGCCATGCTTTTCTTTTTTTAGCACCTTTGTAACTTTGAACGGTCACAAAACGAATGCTCATAAACCGAGAAATAAAAGAAAACCTCCCAGAACTAAAAACCACTGGAGATTTTAAAGAACAGATTGGACAATGATATGTCTGAAAAGGCAAGGACTGCCTTGCCGTTCTTGCGGAGGAAGTCGCTAAATGATGTAGGGTCTCCTGTTTGGGGGTTGGACTAGATGACCTACAAGATCCCTTCCAACTCTGATTCTCTGTTAAATACGTTGCCGTGCGCCTGCGTTCAACCGCGAAAGACAGGCGTTCGATATTTCCGACATTCTTAAGAAAGGGACCCTTACATCTCCTTCTCCTCTTTCTTCCTTCCTTTTGTGTGTATGTGTGTGTGTCCGTTTTTTGTCTCCCCAGAGCGAAAGACTCGAAAAAGGAACTTGAAGAACGAGATCCCGGCGGCGACGAGAGCATCCCATAACAGCCCGGGAAGGAGTGGGCCGTCGTCTTTTCGGACTGTTTCCATTTTATTTTATTTTTATTTTTTCTGTTTTCAACAGAAACATGCAACGACAATTTCAAACAAAAAAAAAAAAAAAGAAAAATGATTTTGATTATTTAAAAAAACGAACAAAAACAAACAAGAAAAAAAAAGACTTTTGACTGCCGCTGCCGAGAATCTTATCGGCGGCGGGATTTTAAAACGGTAATGTTTAGTCATTACATTTGCACTTTCACGGACAATTTTTAATTTGTTCAGCAAGGCATCCTTGGAAATCAACTCTTTGGTTGGATCATCGGGGCTGGGGTGAGGGACGGGGCTGGGGTGGGAAGGGGGGTCTAGTGTGGGGGGAGGGGAGGAGGGGGGGAGGAAAAAAGAGCAACACCCGGAAAGGCGTTTTCATGAGTTTTCCTTCATTCCTCTGTGAAACGAGTTACGAGAAGCAATCCAATCGATCATGTAATATTTATTATATATTTTTGTTTTCCATAGAGGGCTGTTAACTCAAAACGACAAAAAAAAGAAAAGAAAAAAAAACACAAAAAAAAATCCATGTGTGGAACTGTACAAATACGATACCAAAAAAAAAAAAAAAACCAAAAAAATTAATAATAATAATAATAACGACACGAATACTAATTGCGCAAAACAAACAAACAAACACCCCCCCCACCGATCCGAGAATGGCAAATTCTTTCCGAGATAACGTTGTGGGAATTTGTCCGTGGGAACCGCCTCAGAGGACCTTCTGTCTCATCTGCTCCGTCCATCTCCATCCTCCTCTCGCTCGTCCATCTTTTCCGTTCTTCGTTGAGGCCGCCACCGTTTCGATCGGCTGATTTTCCTCCTCCTCCTTTTTTTCTTCCCTTTTTTCCACCCCCCACCCCCCCAAGAGATATTTTGCGCCCTTCCTCCTCGAGTTTTTATTTTCCAGGAAGTATCAGTGTTTTTTAAGGCAAACGGGTATTTTAACGCGGGCTGGTGTTGGGGTGCCGAGAGAGAACGGGGTGAACAGATCAAGCGGAGCTGTTCCTTTATCGGTGTCTTTTTTCTCTCTCTCTCTTGAAAGCCTTCAAGTCTATCAACTGCCATATGCACTTCTCATATTTGGCACTTTATTTTCTGGCCTTACTTCACATAAGAGTTTTACTTATTTAATGGCGATGGGTTTGTAAAGCATTTTTGGTAACATTTGCAGACCTCTAGTTCGACTTGAGTCATGTGCAGAGATGCTGTCCGGACAGTACTGATCAACGAAGGGTGTGGTGCTGCATTCCACCCAGAAAAAAATATTGTTTTGGCTATTTCATCAAAAAAACAACAACAACCAACCAACCAACAGAAGGAAGAAGAAAAGAAAGAAAGAAAAAGAAAGAAAGAATAGAAGGAAAGAAAGAAAGATAGAAGAGAAAGAAAGAAAGAAAGAGAAAGAAAGAAAGAAAGAAAGAAAGAAAGAAAGAAAGAAAGAAAGAAAGAAAGAAGAAAGAAAGAAGAAGAAAGAGAAAGAAAGAAAAAAGAATGAATCAAAATCTAGGCAGTTTCTGTATATAGAGAGATGGTTAAAAATGGCAATGAAAAAAAAATATTGGAGGGAATATATTAATTAATTGCTAAATATTTTATTCACAAAGGGTCAATAGCTTGGCAAGAGAAATTTGCGTATTTGTATAGTTTTGTCTGAATGAACAAGAAAAAAGTGTGGATGTTTGTACATATTGTATATATTAAAACAGAGGTGCATGAATTCAAGGAAAAAAGAAATGAAAAAAGTAAAGCATTAGTGGCTTACGGTCTGTAAAACGAAACAAAAACTTTATTTCACTATAAGAAACTTTATTTTAAATGTTCTTTAGAAGAACATTTTGCTAAAGCATGAATAAAACTGCAGAAGCAAAAAAGAGCTAATGTATTTAGACTTAGGAAAAAAAAGGCAAAGTAACATTACTTTAAAAAAAAGAGATATGTTTACATTTGATTTTGGCTACCAGGAGTTTTTAAATTTCTTTTAACCTGGGTTATCTTTTTTATTATTATTATTTTGTTCTTATTTTATTTAATTTCTCTCTCTCTTTTTTGTTTGCCAATGGTGCCAAGTAAAGTGAATGCTAATATTGCTTAACGGAAAAAAAATTAAGTTATTTTGCAAAGCAGATAATCATAAGAATTCAAAATTGTATCTAGCTTAGCACCATACACTCACTCCAATAAAAAAAAAAAAACACTTAGAATGAACATAAACTTTAAAAAAAAAATTAAAAAAACAAAAATAGTACGAAAGTAGAAAAAAAAGTTTCACTTGACCATATTTCCTGCTGAAAGTCAGACGATGTACTAAATTGCACAAAAAATAATAATTTTAAAGTTTTAAAAAAAGATAATAATAATAATAATAAAAAGATGGAAAGGATACGTAGGGGTATCATGGTATATTTGCTATTTCCAGCGAGAGAGAGAAAGAGAGAGAGAAAGAGGAAGAGCAGCCAACGAAAATTCTTTAAAATTCATCCTTTTTCCGACAAGTTGAAATGCACATTGCAACACCGGGAATCCAGTTGTGCGCGGTGGCTTCCAAGGAAGCGCTCAATCCCTCCCATGTCTGCTCCCCCCTCTGCCCCCCCGCTCCATCCAGGGTGCATGTTGCTAGTGCCAGTTGGCCTTCTGGAATGCAAGTTGGATCCCCGAGGATCCCAGTTGCTTCATTCAAACGTTCCATTTGTTTCTGGATGGTTGGTTGTGAGAATCGGTGTCCTCACCATTCTGCACAACATATCTCAACCTGCAACGATGGAGAACCTGGCCTGGCCTGAGATCCAGGTGCCTTTTCTGTCGTTTCTGATTGTTTCTCTCTCTCTCTCTCTTTTTAATCACTTCTGTTCACTGCCAGGACCAACCCAAGATCCCCGGGCGGGTGTGATGTTGCGTTGCTGTACACGCTCGCCGCTCCGTGCAGCGGTGTGTGGCTGTTTCAACCCGCAAAACAAACCGATTTAGAATCCCTGCCTCGCCCATGATGCTGAAGGCACGTCAAAGACCTTCTTCAGGTGTTCCGCCAACCCTCTCTGGATGGCGTCATTGACCCTGCTGTCCACCAGGGTTGCCGCAACATCTGAAGAAGGTTCTTGACGTATGGTTGACCAGACAGAAGACCTACCCACCCCTTGGCCGAGCAGTAGCTGCCACCTTCCTTCAGATGGATGTGGCTTTTCCTGGCCACAAGATTGACCTCAGGAGTGATTCCACCATCATTCCTTCCAAATACAGACTTGATTGGTAGGCAGCCTGTCTTCTGGTGGACCCCGAGGCTGCCTGCAAGACGAGTTGAGCAACGTTATACTACCTGCAGTCCCTTTGCACCACCCATGCCCACATCCCAAAAGAGTTTTTGGGGCAATCGACGACCTCTGGCACATTCTGTGTAGACCGTGTCATGTTTCGGGGCATGTCCCTTCTCGGGGATTCAGGATTCTGCATCAGGATGGGGCCTAAAGTCCTCTCCTGTTTGCTCGATCCTAAAACCAGATCGGAGAACGCTCTCGTGTCTCCCACCCACCCCCACCCACCCCCCCAAAATATATCCGGAATTCCTCCCTTGTGTGACTTCACTCGTGTGAAGCGAACGACCCTTGTGCGAACGAAATGCAGAATATAACATGAGCCCCCTCTGTTGCACGCTTCGTGGCCGTTCCACACAGTAGTTTGGTGCCCAAAGCAGAGATTTTTTTTTTGGTTCGGGGGTGGGGGAGAGGGGAATCCCTGAGACTTGCATGTAAAACCTAGTTATAGATGTCTTTTTTTGTAAGTTTTATTTTTGTAACTCTGCATGTTTAAAAAAGAAAAAAAAAAGCATCACTGAATCAATGGATCTGTTGAAGAACTCAGCTGCTGGAAATCATGCAAAATGTTTTTGAATTGCCCTTAAAAAAATATGGAAAATGTTTTCTGAATGCTTTATATTCTTTCTGCTGTAAATTAAAAATGAAAAAAAAAAAGGAGAAAATTTTCCCCGTTGAAGCATGTGGGCTTTTTGTGGGTTGTGTGTTGTGGGCCAGGTTGTCGCATTCTCTGCATTTCTAGGACGTCTCCCAAAACTCTTCCTCTTATCATACGTCCCGGAGATTCTAGAAGGTACCTGTGACCTGTTTTACCTGGTAACAAACAGAGATGTTGGGCTTCACAAAATTATTTTGCAACTGACACTTGAGGTATTTTGCTTTGGGTCTGCCTTCTTAGATTGGCTGCCCCAAGCAGAGAAGAGGGATCTATCAATGCAAATAAATATCCTGCTCCTTAAATCAAGTTCTTAGCTTAGTAGATCAGGGGAATGCTGCAGATTTGAGCTTGATAAAAATCTTAGTCTCTCATGATATTCTCCTTAGCACTGATGATGTTCCCTAGTTGGATCATGAGATGTCTGCAAGAAAACAACCAACCTCAGAGAGCACAAGGACCCCATAGTCCTCCTCCTCCTCCTCTTTTTCTTCTTCCTCCTCCCATCCTCCTTTTTCTTCTTCCTCCTCCTCCCATCCTCTTCCTCCTATCCTCTTCTTATTCTTCCTCCTCCTCCTCCTCCTCTCTGAAAACCCCCCTCCCTTCTAGCACTGATGATGTTCCCTAGCTGGGTCATGAGATGTCTGCAAGAAAACAACCAAGCTCAGAGAGCACCAAGGACCCCTCCTCTCAACCCTCAGCCACAAATATTCTCCTTTATTGATATTCTCCTTAAAATGCTAAAATATGGGGTAGATGAAAGTGCCGTTATAATGGCCTCACAGTTGGCCCAATGACCGCAGCCAAAGAACACTATAATTAATGGCATCCACTTCATTTGGAAGGAAACGTGTATAACAGATTTCTGCTGGGCTGACCAACTTTTGGATTAATGGCTGGGAGAAGGGGAGCAGACGGGAGACTTACGAAGTTTGCAGGTGACCCCAAAGCTGGGAAGATGGTTGGATTCTTCAGAAGAAAAAGAAAACTTTACAGGTGACAAGATATAGTCAACTCCAGCGGGGTGTTTGTTTGTGTGTGTGAAATGCACAGGATGGATTTACCAGGAAGAAAGGTCTCAGGGACTCAATCTGCTAAGATACGTTTGGGGGAAAGCTGCAAATTTAGCAGAGACCCC